TCATTTAAGCGCGAAACAAATGCATTGAAACTTATATATTAATTGTTCATTAATAAATAGCACAATAATGTCATCAATTTCGCAGCGAAATTGGAAAGCTTGAACATGTAATTTGTAAAATGCATTTGACCAGCTGTTCATTTTTAGCGCATTTTCTCATTTATGGAAAAAATGCACTATTGTGCTCGCCATGTCCGTCTGTCCGTCCGTGACCTCAAGTTTTCGTCGACGAGAAAACGCGCTCTCTGTCACTTACTGCAGTGAGTACTGAGTTATGTTTTTTTTAAGCTGTAACTGATAGCCAATCAAATGTGTAATATTGAATAATACATATTAATTTTCAAAATATACAAATATATAGTTATATATTTTAAAAAATATACACAAATGTTTCAAAATATTTAACTTTCTTTTAACATCATCTCACTCCTTCTTCCGTCGAAACACAAAATCTTCTCCATCTCAACAAATCGATTCGATCCCTTTCTCGACCACGACCGAAGATCCCGGGCGCCATTATCGGTGCCTTCGCTAATTCGTATTAATAAAGCGTTCTGTTGCAGCTTCATATTGTGTTCACATCACGTAGACTTGCCTGAAATCTTCGCTAATCCACTTCGGCAGCGCTGCAAAAGATTGCCATCCGCGGCTTATCCAAGCGGCGCACGGACGATCGATACCGTCCCTGTGCTACCAGACTGGAATGACTGGAACGCAGAACTGGAATGACTGGAACGCAGGACAGGAATAACTGGAACGAAGAACTGGAACACCGACTAGAATGCAGAGCTGGAATGAATGTAAAGAATAGCTGAAACAACTATAACGCAGAACTGGAATAACTGGAACGAAGAACTGGAACACCGACTAGAATGCAGAACTGGAATGACTGTAAAGAATAGCTGAAACAACTAGAACGCAGAACTGGAATGACTGGAACGAAGAACTGGAACACCGACTAGAATGCAGAACTGGAATGACTGTAAAGAATAGCAACTGGAATGACTGGAACGCAGGACAGGAATAACTGGAACGAAGAACTGGAATGACTGGAACGCAGGACAGGAATAACTGGAACGAAGAACTGGAACACCGACTAGAATGCAGAACTTGAATGACTATAAAGAATAGCTGAAACAACTAGAACGCAGAACTGGAATGACTAGAATGAAGAACTGGAACAACTGGAACGCACGCAGAAGTGGAATGACTGGAAAAAAGAACTAGAACGCTGAATGGGAACAGCTGAAACACCGACTGGAATGACTGGAACGCAGTATAGTAATGACTGGAATGCAGAACTGGAACAACTGGAACGCAGAGCTTGGACGCAGAACTGTAACCCAGAACTGGAAGGAAGACTGGAACAGCTGTAAAGAAGAACTGGAACACTTGGAACGCAGGACTGGAACAGCTGGAGCAACTGGTGTAGCGAAGAACGAGAACAACAGCTTGAACGACTAAGTCGCAGAACTGGAAAGGCAAATGGAAGGACAGGAAAGATGAACATAATATTTTTTTTAGCCATGGTAACTGACATGAACTTTATTTCAGCTCATTGTAATTTAGCAGAGAATAAGGCTAGAAAAGTTAATTTTAAGAACGAAAATCGTCATTTTGACCTACTTTTACATAGAATTTTATATTTCTGAACATGAAAGGTTTTGTACTGAACAATTTTGAGTTCAGCAATTCTAAAAATGTTCGGACTGAGATAGTGTATCTTTATAGTGAGCTCAAATAACATGCCAAATAAATTTTTTGTGAATTTTACAATTGTGTGACCAGTGAAGCAGCGGCTCAGGCAGTATTCTCAGAACCAGAAAACATATCATCCAATCAAAAGAGACTCTCCCACGTACGATTGTGCAGTAATTTGATAAACTTTAAATTTAATAACTAATCAAATTTCTGAGCTATAATTTGGTGCTTAAAACATTTCAATGATTGTCCTTAAAAATAGAATAAATTCGACAAATTTTATTCATACGGGCTCGTGCATCAACTTCATTTATGGCTATGTCATTTTCAGGAGTCGTGAGAGGAGCTCTAATTAGCCTCAGTCTCATCGCAATCATTGACACGGCAAAACTCGTAGCAACCTTAGCAGACTCGCCGGCGCACAGACCGGCGCACCTATACTTTCAAAAAAGTTATCTCTTAACTTAACCAAACTTAACTTAACCAAACTATTGGTTGATGAACTTTAGAGATCGTACGTTTATCAGCCAATAAGTATAGGCTTAGGAGCCTATACTTTAAAAAAAAGTTAAGAGATCGTAAGTTCGTAAGTTCATCAGCCAATCAACGGCCTTTCAAGCAAAATCCACCAATCATAGACAAGAAAATAGAGCGTTAATACTTACGTTCACTTAGCGAGTTTTGAAAGTATGGCCCACGTGAATAGAGCGACGCGCGGTGATTTCAGATGCAGACTGCATCATGTACGGGAGCAGGAGATGGGAATCGAATGTTAAAATGTATAGAACAGGATGTGGTGAAGGAGTTGTGGGATTTATAGTAGAAGGAAGGGAACAATGATTGTTAAATGAATATAAACTGCAAGATATCTGATAAAAATTACCACAACATGCCTCGACACGGTAGCAAAGCAAGGGTGTCTGATTTATTCTTCGATTGAAGGATATCAGTATTGGGGCATCATGAAAAGAAATATTTCACTCCTATACAATACCATACCATACAATACTGTACAGCACTTGACTGTACTTTACTGCACTATACTGTACTGCGCTGTACTGTACTTTACTGAACTATTCTGCACTGTACTGTACTGTATGAAGTAACGTGAACTAACGCAATGACGAAAGAGTGAAAGATGATGCACTCGCATGACGATGTGAAGCAAGCATGCAGAAATGCGACCTGCAATAAGATAAGGGGCAAGTGAAAGTGAGAGTTTAATTATGATGTAAGACAAATGGGAGTAAAATAAAAATAACGAAGTTTGAAAAAAATAATTAATTCCGACTAAGTACTCAAAGTTAAGAAGACGCAGGTGTAAGAGAGGATGACCTTATGACCTTATGACCTTATGATGAGTTTAGGACGTCGCAGTCCACGGTCACGCTGATGCGCCGCCTTCGTCGTCCTCCGTCTCCGAGTCGTCGTCGGATGTAACGTTGGACGTGTTCCGTCTATTAGCCCTCATTTGGGCACGCTGATGCAAGATGCTGTTGCTTGTCGCTTGCTGATGGTAGTTTCCCATAACTGGACAGTCCGGGATCTTGCTCAACCACTTGTCCAGTTGTCTCTTGAATGTTGCAAGGGTAAACTCCCCTCCTCTCAGCTCTTTTGGCAAGGCATTAAAGAGCCTCGGTCCTACCACGGACAGTGATCCCTCACGAAGAGTCTGTACTCTGGCCGCGGCTCGGTTATTAAATGGGGGAATCCTGCACAGTCTCCCCCTTCT